GTCATTGGTCTCACTGGATGGAAATCCAGACTGGCACAGGATGTTTTGTAACGACACAATTTCTTGTTTGAGACACACTCTTACAGAATGTGTCCTGTCCTGACAAAGTTAAAATAAATAGATTAAAAAAAAAAGACTGGAGTGTTTACCTGGAGTGTTTACCTATATGTAAGGGCATACAGTGAATTTTGATGCAATTTTATAGACTTAGATTGAAATGAAAGTACTTTCGGCAGTTATAGGGCAGTTCATATTTTCAGTATTGTGATTGTTCTGAAGGAAGGATATTTATAGTGTCATTGGTTGGTCAACAGATGTTGGTATGAAGTGTGTTGTAGTTTTCACAATTATCCGATCCTTTATCTTCATGAATTTCATTTAAAAAGTTTGGAAAGATTTCCTCTGCTATGGGCATCCACTTGTTGATCTTATATAATGGACATGAGTTTATATATGTGAAACTGTCTACTTGCTGAAGTTGCAATTGGCCTAGTGCTACTCTATGAGAGTGGGTGTAACTTCTATTCAGTTGTCTCTTTGTCTCCGGCTAGTCTGTGCATGGTCCTTAGTGATAAGGCAGACAGGTTTTGACATCCATGGAACATCCAGAGAAGGGAGCATCAGCTTTTGTTCAGTATCTGGTCACTTTATCTTAATGTTTCTCCCACACTTGCCAAAGTCATGATTGTTTCATGCCCAAGATGGAAAAGCAATCAGATACTCCCACTGCTGAGTGAGCAAATATCACACAACCTATTGCCCTTGGGAGACGGATCATAGCCAGGGAAGGAGAAAAGGTGGAAAGTGTCTTTATTCATTAGTCAATCAGGTTAACCAAAAGATTGTTAAACTATAATATCGATAATCTAATACAACAATGCAGAAATAGCTGGGATTGTGTCAATTTTTACAAAATTGTTTGAAAGAGTCATATGGTTCAGAAGGTACTACAGGTTTTGTGAAAAGTAGCCATTGCGGCAGTAAAGCAGCTAAATTATGTCCAAAAAGTAAAAAAAAAACTGTTGTTGACGAAAAGTAAATATAATGGTAGCTATGGTTGAAGATGCAAAGATACATGTATGTAAGGTATCACTCTCATTACCATCATCACTACTTTCAGCATGTGACACTAAGCAAGTCTGCCTTTATGTGTAAGACATCATTATCATAGTCATCAGCACGACTCTCAGCTTGTTAAGACCGGAGCTGCCATTTTCTGTCATTGCCTCCTTTCAATTGTTAGCACTAGCTCAACTGTTTGACTTTTGGTTCTGTTGTTCGCAGAGTCTCCTTATTTCAGACAAATCCATCCCATGGTAACCAGGAACAGGCACATCGTCATAGAATACAATTCATTTGAGAGGGACTGTGCTTTGTTTTCGGTACGGAATTGTATAAGTCTTGTTTCAATTCAGATTCATACTTTTTGCAGATCATTAGAACTTGGTGGGATGATGATAAATCTAATTCAAAGTCTCCCTAAAATTTCAGAAATGCTCCTTCGAAGAAGTACACATGTATGTAATTGACCGCCCCCTTAATGGGGAGATTTTGCTTCCTGATCTTATTGTCCTGATCTTTCTGATGTGAAATTTGTAGTGTTTTATGGCCGCCTCTCCCATTTAGCCCCCTGAAGTCAGTGATGGGAATAGGCAGGATTAAATGGAGCGTGGGACATCCTGGCTGCTCCTGGATGTGAGGGATTTGTTAATGGGGAACCTGTACTCTGAAGGGAAGGTTACACTTTTATGTATGTGCTGCCAGACTACTAGTCTGATGTACAAGGTAGGTATGTACAGAGTAAGCAACAATGATGGGTCAAAATACTCCCAGTCCTATCATTAGAATTGATGTTGCAGACTGTACTGGGCAGATTGGCTTGTGGTAGCGTATATGATTTTTGGGTTGAATCCTTTGGGGCTGTCCCTGTGCCAGCCCGTCAGCAATAATTCCTCAGGCTTCGTGAAAATTTCCAATAATTGTACGCTTGAACAATTACTTATGCAGCTCGTGTGGAATTCATCTTCATCTGATATCCCCTGATTTTCTTTTGTGGAAAGAGGCTGCTGTATTTCAGTATGATCAATATGGCCACCATTTTCCTCTGAAGCTGAAGCTGTTCAGTGGTTTGCAAGCCGCTCTTCCTTTGGCACACACGTATATGTAGTTAGTTGAATGCTTAGTGTGGAAATGTAAACGCTTGAAGCCTTTCCAGAGGGGAGTATTTCATGTTCGGACATGGCGCTGTAGCAGAAATGTATTCTTACAGGTACGTACTGTAATGCCAAGTATATTTGTTATACTGTCCCCCGCCATTGAAAGTTGCAATTGCCTATGTACTGCTATCCTTCTCTCTTGTCTCAATACCATATGTGTATTTTTACATACATGTTCAGAAGCATTTCTATTTTACGTCAATTTAACATATTGGGATCCTTTAATCATAATACATTTATTTAATACATTATACATGATCAAATATAAGGATTTTAATGATGGGGCCCTATAGACCGTTTTTCTGATTCTGAATGCACTTGATGATGTTGTGAATTTATTTTTCTCTTACGCAAATATGGGTAATACCTTTATGTAGGATAATGGGAGCCTGAAACCTTAAACAGGCCTGTTATACAGTCTCAATCATTTTGTCAGATTAAACAAGATCCCTTGATGTATTGTCTCCCTATGTTTCTATCTTCTTTTTCCATCCGTGAGTGGTGTGCTACAGACCACTGATTGATAAGTCAGTTGTAATGAGTATGTCCTAATGTCCCAGAGAATTCCTGGTGTTAGGGGTTAATTTCTGTGTAGCATCAGTCTGACATGTTCCAGATCTCACCAGTGCGGACCCAGTGTGCAGAATTTTGATCATGAGAGGCTGTGTGCATGAAGATGCACTGCGGAGTGTGTGGATGTGATGCATTGATTTTAGCTGAGATGGAAATAGATGTCTGCTGTTATAATTAAATGTTAGGGCACAGTAAGTCTTTCCACTGGTTTACATTTCCACAATACATGACTGTACATAATGTATTCCTTGAGGTAAAGCCCAGGGCAAGTATATGTAGAGGTCCTAGATGCTAAGGTAAAATAACTTCATCTTCTGTTCTATCGGTGGCCTCATAGGGCCATTGGAGTATATATGAAAATTATGTACTATTAGTAAACTGAGTATTAGAAAAAAAGGTAGCATATAGTTTCCAGTATGAAGTGTTTCTTTAGGATGGATGAAAATTCCCGATGATTTTTGATGCAGTATTTTTTCAATCAACGCCTTTGTAAATTGATGACCACCCACTATTTCCTGGATTCCATTCAGGATCCTGACTGCTTTCTACCATAATCCCCAGCTTTTTTATGTAGCATGATGAGAGACATCTGAAGAGGAGGTGTGAACAATGACTAACATGCCAAACTCCCACATGCAGCTGGTAATGTGGTATGGAGAGCATCCATGGGGCAGTGATGATGTCATTACAAAATAATATGTAATGTATTTCCCCACAAATATGGACATTCATGAGGGTCCAAACAAAGCTCCATGATTTCTATATTCACCTCAGTAACAGCCCATTGATTAATCAATAGATGCTAATTTGTAAACACCATGCCCAAACAGATGGAGACACTGCATATATGTGTATCATGGGCTTGCAATTACTATATATTGTGTAGATATCCTGCTCATCACAAAATGACATTGGGCCAATTTACACGGGGCAAAAAATATCATTTGGTTTGCATCGGATGACATGTGGCACCACGCCAAATAGTACTTTTCCCCCATTGTCCGTCCATTACGTCCAGTATGTCCAGAAAGGTGGTGTATTGTTTAAAGCTGTTGTCCCTTCACCACTGTATGTACCAACATTGCCTTGTGAAAGCATCATCTAGCAGGAAAGAGGCCACTACATAATATTATTGTAGCCTATTAATTCTAGTAAGATGTTGGCTATGCGTACATGTACATTCAAACACAGAAAAAAGGAAAAGTATAAATAATCAAATAATCAATATATTGCCATTGGATTTCATAAAATAATGTATGACTACTTGCTTCTCTTCACAGTAATAATTACTAATATGCCATGGTTTTAGAAATAGATTTTGTATTAACACAGTTACAATAGATCATGCTTAGGATAGTGTTTCTTGGTTACAGTCCAATCTTCAACCCGTAAGAATAATGTCCTTTCGAGTCTCCTTCCCAGCACCTCCATAGTTGACTGAATACATTCCAGAGAAATGACGTTCAGCCTGATATTTGGACATGCCTATTGGTATTCATGAGTAATGGATCACCACCTGTATAGAGTGTAATGCAGCATATCTCTGATCATCCTCCAGTTAATTTCATCATTATATAAATATTTCATGATGACATGAGTTCTTTTATTCATGCCAGCCTGAATTACACACAGTCATGGACAATTATGAGAATGTACCAGACTGTTCAATAGCTTTTGGCAAATTTTCATTGATTCATTTCCCTGGTCCTTATTTATATGTGTATATCATTATTCTACATCTGAAGAAAGAAATAGTTATGTGGTTGTTGCCTCCCATAATACAATTGTTCAACCTACAAGTTATAGATCATGAATATTTATGATTATTAATTTGTTAGCAATGTAATTGTAAGCACAATTGTATATACACACAAATATTTTAGGCACTAGTACTCAGTAGTAAAGCACATGTACTTGCCATTAACAAATGGGAATCAAACAGGTTTTTTCTTGACATCATTATTCGTTATGTCTGCTGTAACAGTGTTACATTTATGGCTGTGTGACATGTACAGTTATGGTGTTAGGGTGGACTTCTACCCAAATATAGACATGAACAAAATTTATCTATGTATGATTTTGCTGTGATGTTTATGAGTAAGTTACATGAAACAAATGGTTCATAAAGTTCCCATACTGGTCCAGTTTGCCATTCATTTTTTGACATTTGCCCTCTTCTCTCTTTTCTGTTCCCTACCTGTGCTACCACAGTCGACTCGAGTCACAGCTCACCTCCAGTGAGGAATGCATCACACCTGTACCGGAAGACAGGTGGGTCCTTTGCTGTTGTTTTTGATAGAAGACCGTTAGTCATTATCATGCCAATAGTACAGTTAACAGTGATCTGTTGCCTGTATTGTTTGCTGCACAAATCCCATTACTTTCTTTTCCATTATTATGTGTGTGTGCATGTGTATTTGTATGTGTGCCTGTGTGTGTGTGTATTCTTGCTTCAGTTCCTCTGAAGATATTCAGATATGTTAATAGTACAAACTAGACTGAGGTGGTCTATGAATCTTTTCGGAACCTCTTGGATTGGGGCTATCGGGGATATTTGGGTTCTATTGATATATGAGCCCCCAAGATACCTATGCCCAATGCCCTTTTTATGGAAAGGTGCAACACACCTGGAGCAGTTCACCACTTACATCATTCACTTTTAGATTCTGTCAGCTTAGGAAGTATGATTTATGTATCATGGACGTATGTAGTTCTAAAAAAATAAGGTTTACAAAGTATTCTGTGACAAACCACACACATACATGCACATGCACTACAAAGAAAGGCAACAAAAACCAACAGACTGGAATGGCTGGATCTAATATCCCTGTAATAGCGGTATCAGACATCTGTGTTCTAGTATATTAACTCTGGGATACCCAATGCCCAATACCTGTAGGCTGGGATTTCCTTGCACTGCTTCCATGCCACTACTTGGAAATGAATGTGCCTGAGGTGAATGCAGATGTGGTGACATGTTACTGTTATTATGTTTGAGATCTCATTTGCTAGTAAAGAGTATTGATTTTTGAGAGTCGCTGCAAGCAAATGAACTGACGGTTTCACCTGATAGGAGTTGACATTTGTATAGAGAATTTGCATGCATAGTTGGATTTAGTATGGACATCTCTCACTGCTACAAAATATATGCTGTGCAACAGCTGATGGGGTGTCTAGCCAAGGTGTAAGTCCTGGTTTAAGGACTTGAGTTTTAGTCATTTGGGGGATGTTGAGATTGACAAGATGGCATTTTGATCAATCTTTTTATACACTGTTAGAAACAACAGGTGGCTATAATGGGCCTTACATGTAGGTGTGCTAAAGCAAACCAAACAACAAACAAACAAACAAACAAATGCACATAAAAAAATGAACTTTTGCACCAATGTTAATAATTACAGTATTAAAGCAGCTATGATTTTCATGCACAATATGGAAGAATATGGTCTGAATATATTAACATACCATAATGTAGATTTACTGGTACCAGGTCCACATTTTTCGATATGCCGAGTACGTATATATACATTCTAATCAATAGTTCTTTAAAAAAAAATGCAGATGCTTGCTAACATGAGGCCATGCCAAGTTCTGATTTGAATGGAACAGCTTGATGAATGTTGGTTGGAGGGTACTTCTATTGTGGTTAAGAAACAGTAATGCCAGTTAACACACCAACCTACTATAAAGGGTAGTCCCTTTTGTGTGAATGTGCCATATGGAACCTAGCATTCAGAAAGGATTGGTCACAACATTATTGTGGAGTAGTGTGAAGCCAAGTAGTACTGATCTGGTTATTTATAAATGCTCTAACTATAATATCATCTTCCCACCCCTTCAGCATATTCTAGTGCCTATTACTGTGCAAATAGCATTGCACTGTGGTAATTAGGAAGTACGTCAGCATTGAGGCTGGAGCCTGAACTGCCGACAGCATTATATCTCCGTCATTGGTGTGGCGCCATTTGCGTACTTCGCTTATCGCCACCTCTATCACTCGGTCCATCCGCAGGCTGACGCTTCAGGTGATTGTATATGTGACCTCACATCACTCGGTCTGTTCCCAGATGGACACTTTGGCCCGTTCACAGACTGATGCTTCAGGGTGGCTGTATGGGAAGCATGTTATCTGACATATATACGGGTGTTGTCTAAATATCACTGACAACCTTTACTGTGCTAAGAGCTGTTTGTCAGTAACAACAGTGCAGTTGAATCAGAACTTCATCCAGTCAAACCAGTGGCAAGAAGTTACAAAATGCCCCTCGGTCGAACCAGGAGAGCTTTCAGCATCCAGGCCTCTACCCCTAACTCCCTGTCTGTGAACCTGCTGGCCCTACGCAGGAAGTAAGTACTGTCTTTGTTCATATGGATTAAAAAGAGGATTCCTAGTGGGGAATTTGATAGTGTCATGGTAATTTTGTACCAGAAACTTTGCAAGCATATTACAAATGTTTACAGGTGTGCTGTGTAGGTGCATTATCAAGTACCGTTGATGAGAAAATTGCTACTTACTTTTACCACTGGACTGTTGCCATAGGCACAAATCTGCTTTAAGTAGTTGCCTGGAGGTGCAAATTAGAGTCAGCATTTCTTGAAGAGGCAGATTATGAAGGATGTCGTCCCCATGCAGCTTAGAACAAATTGGGGGCTGATGGTCGAATGCGAGATAAAAAAGGTCTACCCCTGGGTGCCTTGCCTAGTGTCTGTACATATAGGTACATGTATAGGTTAAGGTATGGATTGCCTGTTGCAGTTGAAAAACATAGTACTGAAAAGTAAATTATAAGTATGAAGCAGGTCAAACTCAAGGCAAATTTAGGATATTTTGATAGGGCAGGAAGTCTTGGTTATGGCTTCCATTTTTCAGCCAAATCAGGGTCACCCCTACTCTTTGATATGCTGAGGTCTGCTTCAGAAGCCTCCACCCCAACAGGAAATTGATCAGTAGTTTGATGTATGTCATGAATGATAAAAATACAAGAACCTGTCATAGGTTTGATCTACAAGTTTTCATGTTCACTCCCTCAAGTCTATCACAGATCCCCTCCCCCTGTCAGGATCAACTGACAATGTACACATGATTTATTGTGTCCCTCCCACTAACAGAAAGGAAGCAGGTGAAGCAAGACCTCCCAGGTGTAACGTAATTCTCCTGTCTCACTGTGGGTTAACAATACTCAAGTTTCCAGACAGAAGGAACTGGATGGCCTTTTGTATAAACATGTGCTGAGCTAAGCTTGTGAACTCCCTGTACAAAATGGCATACTACAGCAATACCCGCCATTTAAGCGTCCCCACTCTTCATTTCAACAACGGACTTGGTTTCAGACGGCGCAGAAAGTGAGTAAACATTGTCTCGGCTCTTATAGACCTTGAGTCTGCACGGTGCCTGGGCTTAGTTTTCATGGCAGGTGGATTCACCTGGGTTTTAGAGCTCTTGTGCCTGTCAGCTATTTTCAGGAACATTCAATACTTATGATATAGGTTACTGTGAAATAATCAATTAGGAAAGTCCTTGTAGCTTGCTTAGCAGCTGTATCTTTTCCAACATCCCATAGCTGCTACTGTTTATGTATCAAGCAGCAATGTTTATGTGAAAGTAAAGACACAGTTTTATTTCCAGATCTTTGGTATAAACGTACAGCTGAAAGTTTGTATGCGGGGGTATAAAGTTCATGTCTCTAGCCTGAAGGTAAAAATATTATAACTCAGTATACGAGCGATCTCTGTTTTTGTTTACATCATGTACATGCAAATTATTTGAAGCCATATGCAAACTATTGGCGTGCAAATCAACCAACCGTCACCCACGTTTTGCATACCACAACGTCATGGTGATGGCTCGTATTATAGAGTGTCTACTTTTCAAAGAAGAATCGGATTTTTGCATGAATTACAAAAAGGCATGCGGTACCTGCTAATGTGTGGTACAGGGTGCTCACAGGCTATTGGCTCTGACCTCTACCATTGGTACTGTGGCAGTACATGTATCCCAGTATTGTTGTGCAAGCTATTTTGTTACTCATGTCTTGAGCTTGGAAGGCTGGTAACTGAATGGGGGCTCTTTTCCGTAGAGCGAAATCGACCGTTTTAATTATACGTAGAGCGTAGACGGACCGGTCTAATTCAACGTAGAACGTAATTGGCACATTTTGCATAGAGTGTATTGGCCGTTTTAATTCTACGTAATGCGTTGTAGCCACTTGGAATTTGTCGTAAAGCGTAATCAAGAAGTTTCGGAATTCAGCTTAGAGCGTTGTCAGGACCCTCCCCCCCTCATGCCGGCCCCCTGAAGAAAAGGAACAGTGGAGGGTAGGTAAGGTACTAGTTTAGTTAACTGTTTTATCGTATTTAAAAGTCATTTTGAAAGACTCTACTTTTACTGTCATGTCACTTTCAGTTTCATGCTTAAATGTCTAAAATCCAACAGAATGGGGATTACTGTAAGGCTGTATAGATGTTGGTACCACATTTTAAACTATGGCCACAGGCTGTCTAACACCTGTATATGCCCCAGCTGTGACCCACATACCTTCCTGTTTCTATATTGTTCAGGTGTACACAGGACCAACAAGGAGAAGTCGTAGACATCATCCCTCCATGAAATAGCTTGTTATTTTGTAATCTTTTGGTGTATTTCAATAGAGATATTATGAGTCAAACTTTGTTTTTATCAGCAGAATGATTTGTGGTGTCACTTTGTATTTATCAAGCTGTCATGTGCAGGCGTTTAGTGTCTTGTTACCATGGTTTGTTTACTTTGATGGCCAGCAGGTCATTTGCCTTAGCCTGGGTACCATCCCCAGTAGTATATTCGCAAACTCTATAACTGTTATAGAGTTTGCGAATATACTACTGGGGATGGTACCCAGGCTACATTTGCCTGTACATGTAGGTCAATGACCAGGCAAATGACCTGCAGACCAGACAAACAAGATTTATTTTCCTGCAGACTGTCTAGGGGTAAAAATAGATAGGACTGCCTGGGTCTGACCTGCCAGCTGGAGGTATAAACAAAAACACTCTGTCCCAACTTTTGGGTCAAACAGACCATTCTATTATGAAGTAGGGGGTGAAAAAAGTGAAAAATCCTTTTAAATTAAGCAATAAAAATATGCGACAACCTGCTAATGCACTCCAAAACACAAAGAGACTCAACAACTACCCACATACCAAAAATCATACCAAACCATCCCCCAGATTTTCCAAACATTCAACACAAAAAGTCCAACATTAAACATTTTGTAAATATCAAACGCAAACAGCTA